TCAGGAAAGTTCCATACTGTTTCATTGAAGTTGCCTGCTATTCATTCCATTATTGCATTTGTATTACAACATCTTTTGTACTGGCACTATTAACTATGGTTTCTAGTATTAGCACCAGTAGTACTTGCATATTATTGCTATCAGCCATAACTTACTCTTAGGTCCATAACAATACCATCTTTGTCATTCATTACTTGTTGTCATTTATAGTACTTTTGATCTTATTGGCGTTAGTATTACTAGTACTACTAGCCGCAGTCAGACTGCAACAGTCGCACTTTCAGCGTATCTATGGCAAAAGCTCAAGATCCTCCCCCGAAAGCTTTTAGCACTCCACAAAGTACCCCCACTGAAAGGTAAGCCGTGTTCTCGTTATTTTTCTCGCTCTCCCTCTCTTCTCCTTTTTCTTGTTCAACCTGCTTTTCAACACTCACCTCCAGTCTGTTTTCCTTTTCAGTCCTGCCAACTGGCGCATTTACCGGGCACACCATCCGCCCAATGTGTGTTGTGTATGAAGTGGCTGATGAGTGGACTGGGAGTCAGAGGGCGCCGGTTCCTTCTAATCTCTTGTTTATGTGGATCCTGATGTCTGTGTGTCAAGGGGCCAGGCTGAGCTGAGGCGCGCGCAGACGGGTCCGCCGGCACTGTCAGCCCCTACGCTCATCCCATCTCAGGCGACCGAGCAGTTAGGTGGTGACTTTTTTGCTGGTGGTAGGGGGAGAGTGAGGTCGATCCTCAGTGAATTTCTTTCCTCACTTTAATCAATCGGACACGCTTAAAGCTATCGCGGTGCGTTAAAAGCCGCAGCTTGGAGTGTTGCCAACTGAAAGGACCGTGCAGTCAACCCAGTGTGTGTCCTGTTGTGTGGAGTGGCTAACTCGCAGACTGAGAGTCAGGCTGCAATGGCTTCTTCTTTTTCTTTTTCTTCTTCTTCTTCTTCTTCTTCTTCTTCTTCTTCTTCGTCTTATTATTATTATTCTTGATGTGGCTTTTATGGCGCTCCCGCGCATGCGGGGACCTACCTAGCAAGGTGTACTGTTGGTACGCATATTGGGGTGTTAGCCGCGCCATCCACCTGCGTTCTCCCCCATATCCGGTCTTCTCGACTTATGTGTTTACATTGGATACAGGTGTGGGAGTGGTGAGAAAGTGGAGTAGATGCTGCGAGTCTACATTCACTATAATCCAGCTTTAGTCACCGAATCTGTCGTCAGCTTGCTGAAGCTCGTAGCAGACAGCATCAAGAACGACGGTGTAACTGTCGGGCGGGTTTTTGGATGCTATTTAGGAAAGATACCGCGTCTTATATTACCCCATTTGTTTTGTGCAGGTGGTGAATGCTCCCATGTCAGCCGTTAACTGGTATTCAAGCCGGTTCTGTGACAACGCTAAGTTAGACTCCGTCTAGTGACCACTACCGATAAAATTGTGGAATATAGAAGGAGTCCGGCCGGATAACAGATTATAGAACGCATCTCAACGGTTATGAATTAGGAGATAAGATAAGACATGGAAGGCCCGAGTGTTATGACTGATTTAATAAGGTGTAGAAGGAGAAGAATATA